CAAAGCGGGATTTCGGATTGCGTTTTCGCAGCGACCTCTGCTCGTCACGGGTATAAAAGCAGCTCTTCTTCGGTGGGAGGAGCAGGGACACTTGGCTTCCCCTTTTAAAAGCTGGCCTTACGAGCAGGCAGCTGCAGCAGTGCCAGGGTCAGGAGATGCACACCGACCAGCACGCGTCTGAGATGGTTTTGAGGTGGCCCTCACCAGATGCCAACATCTGCAGACCGAGGATCAGGGCATCCCGAAGCTGGGAGCTGGCAGCACTGCCTTGGGCAGGGGTGGTGGGCAGAGGAGCGGGAGGTGGGGCTCAAATGGGCCTCACAGGCAGCACATGAGAGCAGATGGGTCCCGTGGGCTTGTTGGTGATAGAAACGTGATCAAGGACTCCTCTCCGGTCCCTTTCCAGGGGACCATGCGGGAGGTGCTGTACGTGCACGAGCAGGAGCCGGGGGTGCAGCCTGGGACAGGGGAGTGTTTAACTTGGGCTCTTTCCCAGAGTCTGCTGAGCTTGACTTTGTCTTTTAAAAGCTTTTACTGGCTGCCACCAGCAGCAAAGTGAGGTTTGTGCAGGTTTATCTGCTTCTGCGTGGTGCCCTGGAGCTGAACTGATAAATACCAGTAGAAGACAGAGCATCAGGAGTAATGAGAGAGCAATCCAGGGGCTGGGGAAGCAAAACATTTAAACGTCTCCTGTTGCCACAGGAAATACTCCGTGAATAGTTTGTATCTTCTCAGTTCCAAACACAATTCTTGGAAAAGAAAAGAGGAGAAGCTGAGCTCCTGGCAGCTGGTCCTTGCTACAGCTCCACCAGCTTTTGATAAAGCTCCTGACAGTTTGTCAGAGCTGCAAATCCGCCTGCAGTCTGTATAAAATGTTCTTGGAGGGATGTGAACGTGTCCCTGCCTTCAGGAACAGACATTTCTGTAGACGTGTAGAAAAGCAGAGACTGGAAATCCAGCCCAAGCCTGCTCCTTTGGGAGGTGCTGCCTGGAGAGTCACTTCCAGGAGAAAACCCAGCACCAAGCATCTTCCCAGCACCTACCCCAAAGAGCTGCTTTTCCAGTATTTTTCTTTTTAAAGGCTCATTGTTTCTGCTCAAGGTTCTGCAGTATCTTGGTCTGGACGTGACCGAGGAGAAGAAGAGGCAGCTACGGCAAAGCTTGACCACGGACTCGCAGGGGACGGTGGCCTACGGAGGTGAGCGGGCAGCTCTGCACGTGATGGGCTCTTTCATTTCTGTGTAGCTTTGCTGGAAGCTGAGAAAGCAGAGAGGCACCTGCTGAAAGGTGGCAGGTAAGGCACCTGCCTGGGTATCGATGTAGCCTCATAAGAAAAGTCACAAGTACAAGAGAAGGTGTTTGGTAGAATCATATGTAAAATGAAAATACAAGAAAGATGGTGTGAGGGCTCGCTTTCCTTAACCCCCAGCTTGCCAGGCAAGAGCTGGCCAGAGGACACGCAGAAAATCAAAGCCTGCTCTGCTTTCTGTGACCTGCCAGAGCATATCTGGCCCGCAGGGTCTGCTCCCCAGAAGTTTTTTTGGCAAAAATTCAAAGCCGTCACCAATGTCCCCACCAGTCTCGCAAAGCACAACACCTCTTGGATGGATGTTTTTGGGCAGGCTCTGGTTCCTGCTGCAGTCCAGGGGCTGGGGACTAGGGGAGCTGGGACCCCAATACCACCTCCTCCCCGCTGCACCGGCTCCTCTCTGTCCCACACAGCCCCTCGCACCGTCCTTTCCTCCCTGTCTGAAAGCAAAACGAATCTGGATTTTCAGATTTGTCAATTTAACACCTTTTCGAAGTGCTGAATGATCGAGTTGTTTTTTCTTTAAGTCAGCAGCATGAGAAACGCCAGCAGGCAGGTGTGTGCCTTTTGTCAGAGAAACGTGGTTTCGGCTTAAAATTTTAGAACTCTGAGAACCACAATCGTGAAAACTCCGCTGTTAAAAGATCTGGGGGTTTGGGGTTGTTTTTAAGGTTTATTTTTTTTCAATTGGATAAGAAACGAGAGTCTGGGAAAGAATATCAACAAATTATTTAAGCCTGATGGGATTGCCAAAGAGCCCAGGAATGTTAGAGAAGACTGTCTGGCATCTCCAAACCGGCTATGCTTGGCAATCAGTGGAGATCCCAAAATTGGTGGCATTTTCATAGAATCATTGAATGTTTTGGGTTGGAAGGGACCTTAAAGACCATCTAGTTCCAACTCCCCTGCCATGGGCAGGGACACCTTCCACTACACCAGGTTGCCCAAAGCCTCATCCAACCTGGCCTTGAACACTTCCAGGGATGGAGCAGCCACAACTTCTCTGGGCAACCTGTGCCAGTGTTTTTCTTCTAACACACGGTGCTTTCCTCTTTTAGCTTGTTAAAACTTAATTCTTTCTCACAGACCTTCTCCAAGCACTCAGGGATCTGATGCAGGAGGAGCTGGACGAAGCTGGTCTGGATTCCAGCTCCATGCTCTTCACCCAGCACGAAGTGGCCAGTTTGCTGGATACATCGGCTTTTCACTCTCCGGTCAGTCAGTCCAACACTCTTCTACATTAAATCCATGAATCTTCTAAGTGAAATCCATGAAATTATGAAATGGGGAAAGCTAAATTACCATTTTCTGGTTGTTCTAGTGTTATAAAGAGAAGGCAGAACTATGCAATAATCACTTAGATTATAGGAAATTCTATAAAAGACCTTAAGCTTCTCATTTTCAATAAGGAAATAACAGTATCTAGGGGATAATAAGAAGCAAGTAGCCTGGCAGTGATGCAGAAGGATAATTAGCCATAATTAATCAATTCCAACTAATTTCACCTTGCTCACAAAATGAAAATTCCCTGTAGCCCAGCTATTCCCGCTATGTCAGGGATCAGAGCGTGAAATCCTGCGGGGTGGAAAAAAAACCCCAAACCCTGTGGTTGAATTATTTAACGTGCCTTTTGATCTGCTGCATAAAAATGCTGACTCCTTCTCACAGTGATTTTGATTTTGACTTTGATTCGTCGTTATTCCGGGTATGGAAAACAATACGCCTGCCGTATAGCCCCGTGATTGTGGCGACGCGTGAGCGGCGCGTGATGCCGGCTGTCCTTCTGCCTTGCAGACCTTCGACTCGCTCAGCTGTAATGGCAACGAGGAGCTGGAGCAGCTGCAGCTGGAGATGATGGATCTGCGGCAAGAAGTCCGAAGGCTAAAGGTGGAGCTTCTCCTCTGAGCAGATATCTTGGCAGCTGCAGCCTTCTGCTGTAGCTCGCTGTAGTCGTACGCGAGGGTAATGGTGTAGCCTGTCCCTCTTAAGAAGTCACCAGTTTTCATTCTGCACGTTCTTCATTACAGAGGAGACATTCACCCTCGGCTCTCCTGAATTGCCTCTTTCTCACTCTCAACCTCAGATGAAAACTTCTTTGTACTGAACCCGTGCAGTCACCTTTGAGCAGCGAGTAAATGTATTTAAAAACACAAAACCGCGTCTCACAAATAATTCAAGCCCATGAATAACAGAAGCACCACCTGTCCTCCTGGCCTGACCTAGCTGCTGATCTCCGGCACGGCTCTCAGCGCCGTGCCTGCGTCCAGGGGAATTTCTGCAGGCGTGTAGGTCGCAGCCCAAAAAGCACCGTGGTGGGGGAGAGTGTGCCAACTGCTATTGTAAACTATTATCCTTATGGGTAGGGGCTACAAGACCAGGGCATCTTCTAGAGAATGTCCTATCGCTTGTTGCTTCTAATCCAACAAAAATATTTTCCCTAGACTCTCCTGAAAGAGGTGGAGAACAGCAAGAAGTCAATGGAAGACGAGCTTCAGAGGCTGAACCAGGTTAGTGAAGAGATTGCTGGGTGGGAGTTGGGGTGGTTTTGGTGATTGATGGTTGAGGTGGATGTGGTGCATTCACCAGAACTTCTCGTTGCTTCCAGAAAGCCCTGGGCTTCCTCTCGGAGAACCGGACGCTGCACAGCAAGCTGCAGATGGCCGAGGTGGTGCAGAGACAGGCTCACAGCGCGGAGCAGGACTATGAGGAAGTGATCCACTTGCTGGAAGCTGAAATTGCAGAACTGAAGATGCAGCTGGCGGGGAAGAAAGCAAAACATGTCTCTGAAATAGAGGTAATGCAACCCCTCAGCCTGGGAAAAAAACCCACGACCCTCCTGAACCCTGTGGGTTCCTTTTCTTCTATTTAAAAAGGAGAAAATGAAGGTAGCACATATGTCATTTGTTGCGCGTGACCACAAGGCCAGCACGGTCTCTGGGCCTGTGATATAATCTGTATAATTCCCATTGTCCATTCCAAAAGGACAGAGGTTCACTGTTTGTAGCAAATGTCATAAACTGGTGTCTCCAAAAGCCAAGGCTGGAGTGTCACCATCACCTTTCTCTTCTTCCTCTGGCCCTGTCTCAGGAGGACATCCTGGAACTGAAAAGACAGTTGTCCCTGGCTGACGGCCAGTTACGAAAATCAGAAGTCTCACGGAAGCGCCTGGAGATCTGCAATAGGAAACTGCTCCTGTTTGTGCAGGTGAAGTGCGGAACCACCCCCGGTGCCGGTGCCATCACTGTGGCCTCTTACCTTAAGGGTGACTTTGCAAGTCCAAATAGCTTCCTGCTCCTTAAGCAAGAGAGGGGTTGGGGTTTTTTTTATTCTATCTCATCCTAAAAAGGCACTGTGTGTTGGTGGAGAGAAACCAGGGAATGAACTCACACACACTCGCACGCCTCAGAGCTATGTAAACACCGTGGGGCAGGTTGCTCACTGATCCCCCCCCCAGTGACGCTCTGGTTGAGGCTGCCCCAGGAACTCTGTTGGACATGATGGCCAAAATCATGTGTTTTAACCATTTCTTTGTATAACTGGACCGTTGGTTCTCTACGCAACAAATGTGATCTCAAAGAGCGGCTTTGCTCTTCCAATGCTTCTTTTTCCCCCCAGATTTCCTGCAAAATCACACACATATTTGCTTTAGTCTTTTAATTGACTATTCTTCCACTACACTACCTGTATCAGGCATACAAGCTTGTGTAATTAGTAAACTGGCCAGCACTGGACCACTAGTATTCAGAACATCTGCCACAGCTCCTAGTAGCTTGTCCCAAGAGCTCTTGAAATCAACAGGAAACAGTGGAGAGCAAGGAAGCGTAGATGCTGCGTCCTCTGCTTGAGAGGAGGAAGAATTCAAATGCCTCTAGACCTGCAGCACCACGTGCCAGTGCCTGTGAGCTTTGGGGCTGGACTTTGGAAGTCGATTTGACTCAGCCCTAGGGTCAAATCGATCAAAACATCGCAGGATTTTGGCCACTGGAGCAAAAATATCTTCCTTTTTTATGCATCTCTCAGTAGTGTTTGAGAATTCACTAACGGTGCGCGGTAACGAGGTGCAATCCAGAAACCAGGAGTTGCTAGTAGCGATGATCAAGGCTCGCTGGAAGTAGCCTGCAAAATTGTTCTTTGGAGGAGTATTTTTATGTTGCGTTTCATATATTTCAGTGTTGGAATTAAAATGCATAATTTAGATGTGTCTGTGTTTTTGCATAGGCTGTGAACGTTGCTTGAGTTGCAAAAGGCCTTGAGATATTTGCTTCAAGGGCAATGAATAAGCAGAAGCTGATTACTGTCATATTAAATCTGATCACCAGGAAAAACCCATGGGGTTTGTTCTCAGGAATTATTCATTCCTACAAGTTTGAAATCCTTTTTTTTTTTTCCCTTTTTTTTTTTTTTTGTTGCATGGCAGAACATCCACAAGGTCCTGAGCACACCCAGTCATTTACCAGATGAGAAAAGGTAGGAGATGGCTTTTGGGAATCGCAAACAGCAGCATGAAATGTCCTTTTCTGACCTGTCTCAGGGGAAAGTGATTCACATGTAACCTACCCAGACTTTCTAAACATGCTGTCACTCAGGAAGTGAAACCATGGGAGAAAGATGATCTGGAGGCTGCTGGTGGATTGGTATTTGGGGGGGTTGGCCTCCATCCAGGCTCTTTCAGGAATAAGGAGGTGAAACACTCCTCTGGTTAAGTTGCTTCCGTTGTTTCAAAGAAGCAGAGTTTTGATCCATCTGCTTTTCCCAACATATGTCAGGTTTTGGCTTTAGGACCGTGTCCTTTGCTATCAGCAGTTACAGAAACTGATGGAGTGTCAGTGAAGGGCCAGCATGACTCTCAACTGCATGACTGGTTGGAGAAACAGAGCTCAGACCTCTGGACTCCCCTTCAACCTGAACCTGTCTCCTAGCACTTGGAAAAAATGTACCACAACTCTATTATGAGAACACTGGTGTGTTTTTAATTGATTAACTCGTTGAAAAGTTGCAGCTTATTGATAAGGACCAGCCCCTTTAAAAAGCACCAGTTTTTAAGAATGATGGAATCCAACTTTTAAGTTTCCAAAATGACTACTTGTAATATAATGAAGGGAAAATATTTTTGAGAAATTCTGAACAATGCATTTATATCTGTAACGCAACGATGCCGGTATGTCTAAAAGAGAGCCTCCTGTGATGCTGAGCGATTGAGATGCAATCCCCCCTGAGTACACAGAATTTACATAGAATCTCCCTCACGAGAGGCTGGCCAGGATTTTCAATGACCATTCTATGACAGAAGTATTGATGGCGCTTTCCATATTTGTAAGAGTCAACAGTGAAACAGAAGAGGATAAAACAGACGCAGTCTCAGATACATCTCTTCCATCTTCAGATCTGGTTGACCTTTTGCTATCAGAGGCTAAAGAGCTGTTAGCGCCAATCCTCTCCAACAAGGACGGTAAGCACTAAATTAACCGGAGGAACCGGAATCCAAACAAGTCCCAAGGATGTCTGTTAATGTTATTTACAGTTTCCACCATCTTACGTATTTTTTGCCATACCAGTTAAGCCTCCCACACAATGAACCTGATTCTCTCATGCTAACCAAGATGTAATTGCCCTCCGTGTATCCGTGTGATTCATCTTTGAACCTGAAATGCAGACTCGCGGTGTAAGGAGTCAAAGGGTGTGACTTGTGCCCAGGGCCAGAGGAAAGGCATTTATCCAGGGAAAAAAAAATAACCTAACAGGCAGGAGGATGGTTTCACAAAATCATCGAAATGCGGGTTGAAAGGGACTGCTGGAGATCAGGAGTCAAATCTTCTGTTCCAGGTAGGACCATCGCACTAGATGAGATCTCCAGTGGGTTTGCCCACCTGTGCTTTGGGCCTCCAAGGGTGGAGATCCACAGGCTCTCTGGATAATGCCTTCCCGAGCTGCATTATGCTCTGCGAAAAAGATTTTCCTAGCATCTAGTCTGAACTCCCCCGGGTGCAATCTGTGGTCACTGCCCCCAATTATATTGTCTGCCACTGCCAAGAAGAGTTTGGCTCCAACATCTTTCTAATTGCCCTTGAAATAGGAGCGGGTGCAGCGAGATTGCCTCTCAGCATCCTCTTTGCCAGGCTAAACGAGCCCAGCTCCCTCAGCCCTCCCCAGCCTCCCCTTGCAGGTTATGAGCCCTCGGGCTCCCTTTGCTGGAGCCTGACCAGTTCCTCAACAGCTTTGAACCAGAAATCCAAACCTTCGTTACGCCATCCAGGTATGACTACAGAGATGCTGAGTCAAGGGGAAGAGGAATCTCCCCATTTCCTTGGCGTGCAAGTCAAGATTCCCTTTCACTCACATGCCTCTGGGTGGGAGAAAATCAGAGAAAAGGCATCTAGCTCCACGGGAGTCTGAATTAACCTTCCCAGTCTGGGACTCTGAGCTTAGTCCATGAGCCAGAGACGTTCCTTGGCAGCAGCGATTTGACCCTGCTTGTCTCTTTCCACGCAGAAGGAGAGTTTATGATCTCCTCAGGTGAGCAAACAGCCCCAAACAGGTGCCCAGTCCTTCCTCTTTGATGCTGTTCACCAACTAAACGCGGCCACGGTCCAGCCTTGTCTTCGTCTCGAAGCACAAGACGCAAAGTTAAATAATTGTAGCCTTTGAGGAGCACTTCTGATACACGAGTGTGCCATCATTTCCAGAATTCCTGCATCATTTAAATTATCATCCTGTAGCAATGCCATCTGCATTGGGCATGTTTTCTAACCCTTGGCTGTGTGCTTACGTCTGCAGCTTTGCCGTGCGACAGGGACCAGTGCCTGCCTGCTGAAGGAAACCCAAATTACAAGGAGTAGGTGTCCAAACTGCCGTGGTCTGTAATTTTGACAATACACATACTAAAAATTCCTGTTTGTTTTGTTTTTTGGTTTGGGTTTTTTTTTTTTAATCAAAGTTTTTGCTTGACAACTTTGAACCAGATAATCTAGTAGAGGTCTCCAGATGGCCGTCTCAGAGAAATACATCCCTTCCTAGACAGCCAGAGACTTCCCTCCCCACGCAGCGAAGTATGGTGTGAATTCCTGGATCTCTCTGTTGTTTTCTAAAATGTTCTTTATTTCTTCAGGCCAGATGGGAATTTACAGTTCTATGGCTTGTCTAGCTGGCACACTCATAGACTGCTGTGAGTTCTGAGTAAGGGAAAAATCCTCACTGAATGTGTTAATCTTTTATGTTGTGGTATCAAGATGCTGTGAAATCCCAGCCAAGGGGAGCAGGACAACATGGCTTTGTTTGGACCTTCAGTATCTTAAGAATTTCCCTAAAACCTCTTAAATGGCTTATGTTTAACAGAGCCATGTCCTAAATATATCTGCTGAAAGGGCACTTTGAGCCCTAAATGTTTACTACCACTGTCTTAGCTGATCACCTTAACTCAACCTGGTTATCTGCCAGCACAGATTTTTAGTTGGGTACAACGTAGACATTTGCAAGCCATGATTTCAAGGTTATGAAAAGCATTTCTGGACAAAACAGATGGCCACTACAATCTACTAGTCATGCAAGATTCGTGGCCTCCTCTTTCCTTTCCTAAATAACCAGCGTTGTCTTCATGTTATCCTCCGTGTCCTTCTCCCAAACTAAGTAAAATACATTTCTCATTTTCAGCCATCTTCATCAGAAGACCACGTGGCCCCCTCCTCCAAGCCAAAGCAAGAGTGATCAACCGCCGCCACCAAGTCCAACCAACGAACTGCCTAAGAAGCCTACATAAACCTCCCATGGCTTGCTCGTGCTCCAGACCACGACTGTCCGTAACACAGCTGCTGCTGCGCTGGGAGATGGGAAGGACACACCACGGGTGCTTCAGCTTCCAGGCAAACCAGACCGAGAACCAAGCTTTCTAACACAAGACTCATTCTTCCTACCCACCCAAGACTCTTTCAGCAACCTCCCCTGTGCGTCTACCTCCGAGTTACCATACAAGGCTATTTGCTCACGGTTTTGCAGCTTTATAGGAAAAATATTCTCAAGAGGCTACAAGGGCCTGGATTTCACTGGCAGCCTTTTAGAGCTTGTATTCTGGGTAGTGAGAGGAGCATGAACTCACCCAAGGGACTCAGGGGTCTCCAACAGATTCCTTTTGGTATTTCATATGAAAAACCAAAGTATATTTAGTGACTGTAATCAAAGCAGCTTAATCTGTAGCATCCTAGCTGTCTTGG